GTAAGTCCCATTCCACTGAGGCAAAACCATCCCCAACCTCCAAGTGAGCTTTGCAGACACTTGAGTACAGAGTGTGTGTAGATGCTCTGATTTAAATGAATGATGCTGTGACATCCCCACCACACACACACACCACACACACACACACACAGTAACTTTCCTAGGTTTTCTTTTTGCAGGGGGGAGGGGTTGCCCTTACAACTAAATTGAATTCATTTTCTAGAACATTTAGTGAATTTCAGAGTTCCAACCAAAGAACTAAATATTGGTCTTCATTAGAGACCCCAGCTTCCAGACTTCAAATGAGTAGAGACAAGAGAGAGGACAGAGAAGACGAAGAGAGAGAGACAGTAGACAGAGAGAGAGAGAGACAGGAGAGGAGAGAGACAGGGAACAGACAGAGAGAGAGAGACAGCAGAGACAGACGAGAGAACGAGAGACAGAGAGAGAAGGAGAGAGAGACAGAGAGAGAGACCAGAGACGACAGACAGAGGAGAGACAGAGACAGAGAGAAGACAGGGAGAGAGAGCAGACAGAGACAGAGAGACAGAGAGAGAGCACAGAGAGAGCAGAGAGACAGAGAGAGACCAGAGACAGAGAGAGACAGAGAGAGAGACAGAGAGACAGAGACAGAGAGACAGAGACAGAGAGACAGAGAAGAGGCAGGCAATTTCTTAGTTACACTCTGATACTCTTGAAAAGGCCAAATCACTAGGAAATGCAGCAAAATAAATAAGAAGCCTAAACACGGGGCAATGAGAACAAGGAGGCCACCTTTATGCTGTGGGCCAGCAGAGGCTCTCCAACTATCATCCAGCCGGATTCCAGCCAACTCCTAATCTTCACTTTAATAAAGCCAGCCCCCAGGCGGCCCGGAGCAAGATGTGGCGTGCACTCTACTGCTCCATATGCTGCTGCAGAGGGGCTGGCACAGGGGCCCAGCATGCCTTGCTCTAGAGCCCATGGCAAAGAACGGACTTATAATTTGCTTCCTGGTGATTACCTTACATCCTCGGACCCAGACCACCGAGCCTCCCCCGTCCAAATTAAAAAGCCAGGAAAGCACAGCAACGCGCGAGTGAAAGTACACGGGCTCTCCATCTAGCAAATTCTAGGCTCTATCTGGGTGTGGGAGGGTGCTGGACAGTGTTCACTCTTCCAAATTCCTCAGAATGACCTGTCCCCTGGTGACAGCACGTCATCCTACTATGGCATCTTCATAGAATTGAGTGACCTTTTAATTTCTGGGACAGTTTATATTTAACAAGAATCACTGGTGGTTGGGGCTTTTTCTTTTTAATACGAGAACAAAGTACGAATATAAAAAGTTTCTATATGTTTGTATCTTTTGTTAGGTGGGCTTGATATGTAGAATGTCCCTGTAGAGGGAGCTCACCATGGTTCTGAACACCTGCGTATCATGATGATCATAGGGTCAAGCATGAACCGTATTGTTAAGCAAGTACACCTGATTCTTACTTGTAGAATATTGAATAGTCTATTCAAAGTATATTTGTAAGATAAACTATAATCCTATTAAATATGTAGTAGAGGATAGAGGTATTGGTAACAAGTGACTTCATTTTTTTGTCATTGGTCATCATGTAGGTATAGTTTTCATATGCCCTGGCATCCCACACACGCATAAGGTACAGTCTATATTTACTGTTTTCATGTATAGGACAGAGAAATTGAACTGTTCTTTTAACTTAAAGATATATGCAGTATGCCAAAGTCATACTAGTGTTTGAAGACGTTTTGGTGGGCAAAATTGAATTTCCTAAGCAATCCCAATATGAGGTGGGTGTTTGGAATTCAATTGGGTTAACAGGTGGGAAAAAAACTGCAAGAAAACAAAGGGGATGGCAAATTGATGTTGCAATTATGCTAAAAGCAAAGCAAAAAGAGAAAAAAAGCAGCAAGCATGCAGATGATGTTTTAATCTGCATAAAAGATGATGTTTTATATCATACTCAGTCCATTTTCCATAGTCAGGATATTTAAAAAGTAAGTATTATGACACTATTTTCCTTATCAATTTCACTTAACTGCAGTAACAAAAAACAGACACCTAAAAAAATACTAACAAGCCGATAAAATCTTGATTTTACATGACAGACTGCTGGTGGGTAAAGGGAGCCTTTTTTGTATTGTCTTGTTGTATTGTTGTGCTTAATGGCTCCAAAGTGCCTTTTCCAGGGCCATTTATTTATAAAAGTTTAGGTCCCTGATGCGAGGTTTCTTAAGTGAAATCTTGTTTTCTTTAATAAATATTCTACGCCATCCCCCTCCTTTGAATGACAGATTGAAATATTCCATGAGTAGATGCAGTGTGTTGCTACACCACGAGGTTGGGAAAAGAAGGCACTGGGGGATGTGGCCAATATTTTCTTTGCCAGCCATTTCTCTTCCCCGCCACTGGGAGGGAGGGCCCAAATGGTGACCACCCAAGAGGGATGTGCATCATCCCCCCAGAAGTTTTTGGATAATTTTTTGCCATTCAGTCCAAGAAAGTAATTCTATAGGAGGTGAAGCAATAATACCTAAGCTGTGCCAAGAGGTTCCTTCCCCGCCACCCCACATGCTTTTCAAAATAATTTTAAGTACCTGAAATTAAAGTTTTGTGAAATCAAAAAAAATGAAAGCATCCCGGGTGAAAGTGACTAGTGGCTTGTAATTCTAGCACTTGGGAGCCAGCAAATGGGGAAAGGATCGCTTGAGGCCCAAGGAGTTTCAAGACCAGCCTGAGCAACATAGTGAGACATATCTCTACAAAAAATTTTAAAAATTAGCGCAAGCGCGGGTGGCAGCCAATACTTATAGTCCGCAGCTTACTGGGCCATGAAGAGTCTTTAGCCTCTTCCAGGAAGCTTAAAAACTAAATTAAGTTGCTACTCCCTAATATAGATGTATTTCATATGGCCATTTATTACTTAATTCTGCCAGGAGCCACCATACCTGAGGCATCAGCTGTGTGGAGGATACCTGGGGACAGGGGACTTGGGGACCTGAATAAGTCTGGGTTCTTCCACTTACCTGCATCTGTGTAATCACTTCATTCATTGGGGTCATCCTCATTCTTTTGAGACACACTCTCATTCTGTTTCCCCGGTAGAGTGCAGTGGCACCATCATAGCTCACAGCAACCTCAAACTCCTGAGATCAGGTGATCCTCCTGCCTCAGCCTCCTTAGTAGCTGGGACTACAGGCAAGTGCCACCCCACACTTGGCTAATTTTTCTATTTTTAACAGAGACAGGATCTTGCTCTTTCTCAAGCTGGTCTCAGACTCCTGAGCTCAAGCCACCCTCCCACCTCAGCCTCCCAGAGGGCTAGGATTACAGATGTGAGCCACTGCGCCCAGCTTTCATCCTCATTCTTCATCTGGAATCTCACTTTTCTCCCTTCATAGCTAGTTTTGAAGAGCAAATGAAAACAATACAGCATAAAATGTTTATTTACTCAATAGTGTGTATCAGAAATGCCATGGATAATGAGCCTGATGAAATAAAGTAAGTATTGATACAGAATAGAGAAAGTGCTCTGGAGAAAAACAAGTTTCAAAGAGAGATTAGCAGAAGGGATATTAATTGAGAGGATATTCAGAAAAGTCTTCTCAGAAGAGGAGATATTTACACTTGGTAGGAATCAAGGCAAGAACTGGGCAGGACTGAGGAGAGGTGTGACAGGGCTCACTCTCAGAGGCATCGGAAAGCCGGAAACCGTGGGATGTGCCTGGAGAAGCAGGTCTATCCATCTCATAGAAGGACCTTCTAGTACCATCGTCCCCAGCAAGCCCTTCTGAATCTCCTTGCCCATGTTATTATGCCCATGCATTCATTATGTTTCATGTACACTGGGCTTGGTTTCATCCAAACCATCACTGCCTTGCATGCTATAATCCAAAGCTTTCTTTTATTTTAATCATATGCTTTTCATTCCCCCACGCCCACCCCCTTGCAATTTCCTCCAGAAAAGGATGGCGACCTGAAGACTCAAGTTGAAAAGCTCTGGAGAGAAGTCAATGCCCTGAAGGAAATGCAAGCCCTGCAGACAGGTAAGCCCCTGCTGCATCAGTGCCTTGTCCCAACAGAGACAGGAAAATACATGGCGACTGTCAGTGGTTTAAAATCATATCCAGGCTACTTGTTGAGTTCTGGGTGACATCTTTTTTTAAAAGAAACATTGCCAAACCAGAGAGACGTCCAAGTGAGAGGATCCCAAAGCTGGGAGATGATTGTTTTGGGAAATCAGCTGCATTTGCTACCCCATTCCCCTATATATGGGTGGTATAGAAATAAAAAATTGGTAGTTCAGGAAAATAGTTTAAAAGTCAGTCCATAATTATTCCCTCATAGGTAATGAAAAAGAATAAAGCAACTACTAAGTGATTGAAATGATTAGCATTTATCGGATGTTAAGAAAGTATCCGGCCGGGCGTGGTGGCTCACGCCTGTAATCCTAGCACTCTGGGAGGCCGAGGTGGGCGGATTGCTCGAGGTCAGGAGTTCGAAACCAGCCTGAGCAAGAGCGAGACCCCATCTCTACTATAAATAGAAAGAAATTAATTGGCCAACTAATATATATATGTACAAAAGAAAAAATTAGCCGGGCATGGTGGCGCAGGCCTGTAGTCCCAGCTACTTGGGAGGCTGAGGCAGCAGGATTGCTTGAGCCCAGGAGATTGAGGTTGCTGTGAGCTAGGGGCTGACGCCATGGCGCTCACTCTAGCCAGGGCAACAAAGCGAAACTCTGTCTCCAAAAAAAAAAAAAAGAAAGAAAGAAAGTATCCATCAGGAGATCCACTCAAATCCAACTAAAACAGGCTCAGAGAGCTCACTTGGGCTGCGTTCAGCATCAGATGCACATGGAAAGACATTGGTTAGAACCACATGTTGCCAACAGTGTGACCAGCGTCCAGTGCTACTTTTCCATGGAGTAGAGCTCCCAACACCCTATGCAGCTGGACACACTACTGTTCGGGAGATATTCTCTAAGATGTGAGCAAATGAAAGCCACACTGGGCAGGAGCAGGAACAGCCCTGGTTTACAGGGCTCATACCCACAGGAGCCGACATCCTTTGCAGCAATTCCAAAAGCAGAGTGTTGAGGGTCCCATTAAGAGACCTGCCCAATTACAAGTTACCGCCTTTGGGGAAGACTGAAGTTATGGCTTTCCATTAAGTATTTATAACTCCCAGGCCAAATGGATGCTACCAATCTGGGGTCATTTTTGCCATAAGCAATGTTGCCTGGTAACAAGAGTGACATACTCCCTTTATGAGGTTTCCAGGGAAACAGAATTAGAATGTTAAAGGAAGGTTAAATGCTCATACAGAAGGGGCAAGAATGTTTTGTTAACATTCTACTCATAGTCAGGGACTATAAATTCTTTTTGTTTTGTTTTGTTTTGTTTTGTTTTGTTTTGTTTTGTTTTGTTTTGAGATAGAGCCTCTCTCTGTCACCCAGGCTAGAGTGCAGTGGTGTCATCATAACACACTGCAACCTTGAACCCCTGGGCTCAAGCGATCCTCCTGCCTTAGCCTCCCAAGTAGCTGGGATTAAATTTTTCTATTTTTAACAGAGACAGGGTCTCATTCTTGCTCAGGCTGGTCTGAAATTCCTGACCTCAAGTGATTTTCCTGCCTCGGCCTCCCAGAGTGCTAGGATTACACTGTGAGCCACCTCACCTGGCCTATAAATTTTTTATATAAATATTAATTCATTACCCCTCCAACTTCTGTTGACTACTCCGACAACTTAAGCTATTATAATTATCCTCATTTTATTGATAGGGAAACCAAGGCACAAAGAAATTAAGAAATTTGTTCAAGATTTACACAGGTAGCCAATGTCAAAGATGAGGCCTCAACCCAGGCACTTTGGCCCTAGAACCTGAGTCTCCAATGATATTCCCTAAAACTATCTTTATGTTTGGTTTATCTTGGATAACCTAAATAATATTATCAGGGCTCAGTTATCTGCTTAAGAAAGTTGCTATCTCTCCATACTCGGGGTCAGACTTTTGTTTTAGTTTGTTTTTAATAATTGTAAAAGACCATCCAGTTGCAAAAGTCCCAAGGAAGTGCAGCGTATAATGGAACTACACAAACCAGCAAGCATGTGTATATAAAAGCGACATGAGGCTTAAGGTGGGCAGACCTGGGTTTGTGTAGTTGTGATCTTAACATGCTATGTAAATTACATTCGCATGCTAAGTGGTGACGAGGAACAACTTCTCTGAGTCTTCTCTGATGTGTGAAATGGGAATAATAAAATACCACTTCATGGGGTTGTCATGATTAGGAGTTCGTTTATGTAAAATACTTAGCACGGTGTCTGGCATATGAAAAATCTGCAATAAATGTCAACTCATTATCATCATCATACATCATTCATTCCACAAATATTTATGGCTGTTTGCTGGGTCCAGCCCTAGGCACCACACACTCCAAAAATCTTACTATGTCTACTTTCACATCTTTACAGTCTGTCTCCGAGGAACAAAAGTTCACAAGAAATGCTACCTTGCTTCAGATGCCTTAAAGCATTTCCACGAAGCCAATGAAGACTGCATTTCCAAGGGAGGGACCCTGGTTATCCCCAGGAATTCCGACGAAATCAACGCCCTCCGAGACTATGGTAAAAGTAGCCTGCCAGGTGTCAATGACTTTTGGCTGGGCATCAACGACATGGTCACAGAAGGCAAGTTTGTTGATGTCAATGGAGTTGCTGTCTCCTTCCTCAACTGGGACCGTGCGCAGCCTAACGGTGGCAAGCGGGAAAACTGTGTCCTGTTCTCCCAATCCGCTCAAGGCAAGTGGAGTGATGAGGCCTGCCGCAGCAGCAAGAAGTACATTTGCGAGTTTACCATCCCTTCGTAGACCCTTCTGGAATGCGTCTTCCAAGCAACATCGGTCATGGTTGATAGGGTGATAGTCCCCCCAAATAAGTAAAAATTGTAATTGCAAAATTGCAACACAGGAGTCAATGGCAATACAACAGAGTCAGCCAATTTTGATAACACATTTCATTGTGATTTTGCCCTCCATGGGGTATAGGGCAAAGGGCATCAGAATATAATGATCTGGCCATATGCACACTGTTAAAGTGACTTCTACAAAGGGGGTATCAAATCCTTCTCTCCTTTCTACTCCCTCTTAACTTGTATAGACCCAATCTATTAAAAAAATCAAAAAACACAATCGCATGCATTTTTTGAATCCAGAAAAGCAAGCTTAGGCTACATGGAAGATTTTGCCTTGAATGTTTAGTATATATTTGATTGATGAGAATCTCCTAAGTTAGAGATTCTAGGTGCTATATAATCCAAAAATGTTTCAGCCTGATGCTCAATGCATTCCATCCTGACAATAACACCTTGTCAGCCCATTGTTTTCCTTTGAGTTGCTGTATCTCCTGGTGGAGCTCATACCTGCCTATCAGAACACAAATGTCCAGCAAGGTCCTGATTTAACTTCTTTTCCTCAAGTCCCTGCCTGACCCTTTGTGGAAGTTTCTAGTCAAGATTTGAAAGGAAATGACAAGGCAACATATTTGATCAATTTCCATTCCCAGCATTACATTACAACTTCCGACTTAAATGGGTAAGTCTAAGGCAGACCAAGAGCAGAAGACTCTGTGGGAAAAGAAAGTAGAAAAGAAAATCTATATTTCTTTTGCTTTGGTGTTTGTACTCTCTCCCTCTGTGAAATTGAGGGTGGACTTTATACATGTTGGTTTCCTTTTTTGACATTCCTTATACACATATATATTTTTCAACCATCATTATATATTTAAGTCTATTAGGGGCAACCTATCTTTGAAAGTTGAAAATTTTATTTAAATAACATTATTTTGGAGTCACACAACTATATGATTTTTTTATTCTGCCAAATGCTACCCCCGATAAATTGTTTAACTGGATTGTATGAAATAACTTCATCGCTTAATATTAAATTACAAAGTTTAGGCTTGGGGGAAAATGAGCTTTTTAGAAGCAAAAAATTCTAAATATATTTTGTTCCTCAAATAAATATATTTCTTTTTTCTTTAAATGTTGAGTGTGTTTTGTGAACAATACCCTGGCTCTACAAACTTTAACTACATGTGCTTCAAATTAAGTTTTAGTTCTTTTCATTGCACGATAATAAAGCCTGAATTCTGATCAATGTGGATGTGTTTGGGTGTTGATTATAGTCATTCAAACTATGTTGGCAGAGTCTGGGGTAAAATACCTTGGATTTAATCAAACTGGTGATTCAGATGTATGCAGAGAACAATTTTACCCGGATATAAAGAGACATGGTTAGGGGAGGAACTTTAAAAATAAATTGTAGCTGCTGCAATTGTATTTGGTTGACCGTGGCTAACCCTTAAAGATAATGAGAATAATGAAATAAGTAGACATTAATTAGTGCATTCTTATCACACTCTAGGTACTATGCTAAATTTTATATATTTCTCATTCATCATCTTCAGAACAACCCTGAGAATTAGGCTTTAGAATTGTTTCATATGATAGAAGAAAAGAAATAAATGAGAGAGACATGACAAATTGCCCTAAATGACAGGCCAGGAAGTGGTAGGACTGTGACTGGAACCCAAAAAGCTGACTCAAATCTTACATCCTTAGCAACTATGGAAGAGCTATGACAAGGGGAAGCTTATTGAGACAGGTGATGGGGGTGGATTCTAATCCATTTGCTCAATTTCTTCCTCTGGGGTAAAAATGTAGGTAAACATGTGATCTTGGGAAGGGATTCAGCCTGAGGCCTCTGCACAGAGGAAGGCATCTGTACCTCCTTTGCAAAGGCTGAATAAAGACAACCACGTTTCACACAAGAGTGTTAGGGTTTGGGTCTCCAGAAAATGGAGTTAGACAAGATCATCCTTCCCAAAGCACCCCAACCAGAAAGAGCAAGAGAAGAAGTTAATTCAAAGGTATTGATGAAGGTTAGGTTGAGGAAATCAAGACTAGTTAGCAGACAAAGTGCAGATTATGGGAAACTGCTAGACTGGAAAGACTGGATTAGGAGGTTCACTGGCTTGCCCTGGGTCAAACTCTTGAACTTGACTTTATTACTTCACCAGCGAATCAGCCAAAAGCCACATTCCTGAGAGTCATTAACTTGGACTTCTCTTTGGTTAATTCTACCTGTTGGACACTATCTAGCAAACAACTGGTCTGCAGGTAGTTAAGGATAAATAGGTTTTAACTCTCAAGCCAACTCTATGTCTTCACAAAAGCTGCCTGGACTATAGCACAGAGAAGCATCTTGAAGCTTGGTGAAAAACATGTCATAGCAATTAGCAAAGTCTCTCACAAGTGCATGGTAGGAGGATGTCAACGTATCATGTAAGTGTCATTCTTGGGGCAAATGCCCAGCTTCCCAAGGATGTCATTTAAATTCAAATCCCAGCTGAGGTCCTGCAAGCCTTACAAGGAAGCTAATTTTAACCCTTAGAGCAGTGCTTCTCAAATTTTTACATGCTTACAAATCACCTGAAGACCTTTTAAATGGGAGATCCCGTAGGGCTGGGCTGATTTCAACAATCTTCCAGTGGATACCAACAGTCTGGAGCACAGACCACACTTTGAGCAACAAAGTCTCTGATTGTAGCAGTTTTGTTTCTTTTTAGCACACATATTAAGGGTGGGCGTTACAGTTTATCTGAGTAAAACACTATACAGAGACAAATTGTTCTACCTGTCAAAGATGCTTCCATCCACATCATTAAGTGAGGTAACAAGTAAAAATCAATAAGTTAAAGGTAACACCATTTAATAGAGACTCAGGTCCAATAGTGATTTGAAGGAGAACTGACTTATTGCAAAGCTTGATCATTCCTTCCTCTTCCCTAGCATTGCTGAACATTCGTATCTAAAAATAAAGACGTAAAGCCTTTCCTGACCTCAGATTAGCACGAACTCTCATAGCATTATCAAAAAGTCACACATAACAAATCAAACCCACAAAATTTAATCTTGGGGGCATAAAATAAATATTGTCATGTTTTAACTAATGAAGTATCTTATTTAATCTGATGCAAGAAATTCAAAGGGTAGCTATTAACTGTAAAGCACTGTGCTAGGAAATACGGAGGGATAGAAAGTAAGTTCTAGCATGCCGGAGGAGAATAAGACTACCTTATTGGGGTCTACAAAGACCACATGAATAACTCTAATTACATATGGCCGTTAACTGACAACCACAAAATGGACAATGGTTTAAATAAATCCCCACAAAGGAAATACATTGATAGTTAAAAACATGTGCACACGTGCAAGGTGACAGCATAGCTGACACTCCTGCCCCTGAGACAGTTGGTTCAGGGAGACGTCTTTAGCCCAAGCAGAGCCAAATGAATTCTTTTCCAGTGGTTGTCATCTGGACACTTGGGGGGCAATGAAACAGTTCCTGTTGGACATGCTAAATTGGGACAAAGTAAATTTAGGGCTTCTGGCAGAACTCTTCCCTTCTAGATGGATGCAATGCACAGAATGAAGCAAAACAAAGAAAAGTGATGATGAGAAACAAGGGCACAAGGAGAGAAGGAGGGAGGGAGAGAGAAAGAGGGAGAGAAAGTGGGTGTGTGTTCACAGAGTTCTTAGTTTATCATTCCAATCCCCCAAAGCCCCAATTTCTATCTCTGTAATTTCTATGAGCTACCCCACAATTCCTCCAAGCTACACAGGACACGTTCTGCCTTTCTTTGGAGCTAGTTTGAGTTGGCACATCGGCCATGATAGGCTAGGTTATGGTGCAGCAACAATCTCAAAACCTGAGTGGTTTGAAACAGCGAAGGTTTGTTTCTCTCACTCATTCTCGTGTCCACTGTGCATTAAAAGAGGTCTTGCTTTGTGTTGTACTCACTCTGGAACACAAGTCGATGGAGGTGCAACTGTGTAGAATGTTGTCATTCTCTACGGCAGAGGAAAAGAGAGCTCTGGGAACACTCACAGCAGCCCTTAAACAATCTGATACAGAAATGAGAAACATCATTTCCATCTTAAGGAGACCTGCAAGTGCAATTCTACCACATGCCCAGGAGGTGGCGAGCTCAGGTATTTGGTGGCCAGCATCATGCCTCCTGGGGATGGGTTTCTGTTGCTTGCAATCAACATGATTTTGACTAATAGGAGCTATGAAGAGAGGTGAGATGAGAAAGACCTGTAATCCAATTAAAAGAGAAAGTGAGTTCATAGAGATAAGAAATAGCAGCAGATAAGAAGCTTGTAGTTGGTAAATGGAAGCTGAGTCTATAGCTTCAAAAGCTAGAAGTCAGTGACCTGCAGGGAAAAAAAAAGATTTTACATCAAGACATAGAACACCCATGTGTATATATAATGAAACAAAAATGTCACACAAACAGTACCTTTACTATCTGTGGTGTAACAAATATTTGGGGAAGTTATTTCTGCTAGGCATTGTTCTAGTTGCCTGTACCTAGAATAAAAACTCCAGTTGCAGAGTTTATATTCTGTTTGTGGAGGGGGGCTGGTCAGAAAGTTAAAAATAAACCATGCACACTAGAAGATTAACATAATAAAATTTCTTTTAAAAATTACATCAAAGGGGCTTTGGGAGTGCTGGTTTTATTCTGTATCTTATTTGGATGCTGGGTATATTCACTTTGTAAAAATGCAAGTTTTTGCACTTCTCTGGATGTATTTTTGTACTTCAATATAAAGTTCAAAATATTTTTCAAAGACCTAGAAGTCAGATTACCTCCGTTCAACTGTTCAAATTGAAATTATTATATGCAACTTTGCATATAGGCTCTTGGCATCTGTGAGTTTTCTAGGAGGAGTGGGCCATGCATTTTTAAGTGTCTGTCAGGAGATGGTATGTGCAAATTGTGTCTTATTAAAAAGCCAGTTATTCCAGTTGTCCAATGTATTTAATCTACTCAAGTAGAGTGACCATAAATTACATTCCAATTTTCCCTGGAGAGTGCTGATGAGTGACAATTGTTCTGAAATTTATAGCATTCTTTTTCACTCTGAAAGTTTCCCCGTTTGGATGATAAATTAGATGGCCATCCTAACTATAACTCAGGCTGACTTTGTTTCAGAGATGTGATGATCTTGCCAATGCTTACATTTTAAAATTCACCTTTTCTTCATTTCATGAAGGGACCCTATACTTAGTTTGAGTCAAACTAAGCCACTCATGGGGACCTAAATGCACCAGGAATTTATAACAGCAGCACTCTGATCTAGAACTCTCTTTCCTCAGTTGTCCCTGGTGCATTTCTCTTCATTCTTAATGATTCAGCACAATGGTAACCATTTCTGACCTTATAAAAGATGCAATTCTTCCTCTGTGCATTCATATTACCTTATATAACTCACAACATTTACTGCATTTGTCTAACAATGGGCAAGTATGATCATCTCATCCTCCCTATTTCAAACTTTTTAATGGCTTTCCAAGTTTCTTAGACTAAAAACAAAACTTTAACATGACCTGGAAATGCTGCAAGTTCTTACTGTTCATTCTTCTCCACCTCCCCCTTCCCTTTGCTTTCAGGGCTCTAGACATATTCTCATACTTTTAGGCACTAATCTCCTTCCTATCACAAGAATTTGTACATTTTTTTCCCTGCCTAGTAACTATTCCTTCTTCATCTATCTTGCTCATTCTTCAAATATCAGTTAATTAAGATGATTTCTTCAGGGAAGCTTTCTCTGAGCTCCCTCAATAGCACTTAATAATGCACTTGGCTGCAAGTAAATGAAAATATGACTAATAGCAGATGAAACAAATAGGGATTTTCATTATTATATAACAAGAAGTCTGAAAGTGAGCAATGCGTAGCATTGTTTCAGAAGCTCAGTAAGGTCAGGATCATTTCTGCAATTATGTTGGCCTTTTCTCATGATCACAAATTGTCTACTATAGTTCCAGATGTCACATCCACATTCAAGGTGGGAAGACACATAGAATGGCATCACCTGCCTGGTTTGTCCCTTCTTCTAACCAACCACCTCTAGCAGATCACCACATAAGTCTCACTGCCTGGAACTCCAAGTGGACATTCTAACTCCATGAAAGGCTGGGAAAGTGA